AGTGGGAGAACTTGCACAATTGGTGGCTGACTAAATACTTTTTTGCCCCACTGTAAATACTTAACCTATCTGCATGGATCTTTATAGCTATTTATAAAGCTCTTCCCCTTGGGCATTATCTGCAATTTTACAAATAATAATTCAAGGATGGGAAGCATTAACAGTTGTTATGGTAAATGCATCTGGAACTTCTTGTCCCAGCCCAAGTCTGGGTTTGGTCCTGGTGTGCCAAACACCCAAAAGAACACACCGAGGTGGAGATTGAAGTGAAACTTCATTCTGTGCAGAAAAAAGGACACAAGGAGATCTCTCTCAAAGCTTGTGTAACCACTTAGTTGTTGTTTATAGCACACTTGCCACAAACCTAACCCCCTGTGGTCAAAACTTGACCTTTCCTTTTATGGGGATCTCTACCTGTTGTTATACAATATCTTGCAATGATCAGCAACATTTAACACATTTAGGATTACATAAACATTTCTAACACCCAAGCTAATTTATTTTTACCATGCCTTCCAGCTTCATTTCTAACCAGAGTTTGTTTCTTGTTTCCTGCTGTTCACCTTATCCCATGATAATTTGGGGTTACCTTTAGCAAGCTTAGTTTTACAACGCTCTGCCAAGCCTCTTTTCTCTATGCTTCTAATTTCTATTAAAATCATCTTTATTATTTCAGTAAGCAGTCTCATGAAGAGTTTAAGCAATTTGTGGGTTGTCTTATTCTTGTTCATCAAGCTCATTTATCAGATCTTGGAGCATCTTTCTATTTTAATAGAAATGGAAAACTTTCTCCAGTGCCTTTGCCAAATTAGAATGGAGCTTCTCCTTTCAAATGTAGGCTATGTTTACCCAACATATGGTAGCTCCCTGACAAATCTTTTGTTGATGAGACATAAACACCATGCAACATAATAACATAATCCTCTCCCAACTCCTTCTATAGTCCTTTGCATAGCCAATTATTACAACAGTAAGTTAAATGGCAAATCAGGGTGCAGTCGAGTATTTTCAACCAAAAAAGGATCATAAACTGTTTTTCCTTGAGCTAAATTATGATTGATCAGTATTTGATGAGCACAATTTCTAATACTGCCTAAAACTTGCTGTAAGACAAGTACAAGATTTTAAGGGAAGGTAGAGCACAATTATACTCTGGTTTCTCTTCAGATCACATAAATCTTTTGCCTTTTACTAAACATTTCCATGGAGAGGAACATTTATGAGTTTGTAACTAATCTTTTGAGGCACGCCGCCCAGACTCGCTTTGTGCGAGATGGGCAGCTATATAAATATGATAAATTCCTAGTGCAGGAAAAGTTAATAAAAGAAGGGGCAAGTGGAATGAGAGTTTGGAAATTGTGTCTGATTCGATTAATGGCCTTTCCTCAGCTGTAAACAAAAGATATCCACCAAAGAATGTGGTTATTTTCTTGCTTGTTTAACTATCAAAAGGACTACCCAGACATACCTAATGCAAATAGCCGATTATCTTCCTAAAATCCAACAGCCAGCCACGCAGACGGGGAAGCTGAAAGGATATTCAAACCACCTCTGGTCAGAGCTGCTTTGAACGGTCATCTGGGTCCCTTTTATGCCTTGGCCAGAGTCACACATTGAGACAAATTAGGGGATGCCGCTCAGGCAGGGGGAGTAAATTAGTTAATTACTCCCTCCCCCATTTTTGCTTTGTATGCCACATTCACTGATGATGAATTCTGGAAAATTCAAATGTTTGCACATTTGTTATCTTCAGTTAACCTTAAATACTGATTTTGTCATTTGCGTTAAGAGTTTGATTTGGTTTGTTTGTTTCAGGAATCAGCTATTCTCTGTTGGCATTCATGAACATATTTTAATAAATACAGTTTCTACAATTCGATTGATATTCATATTTTAGCCTCTGTGTATATCATTCATGTGTCTATCTGTGATTAATAAGCAATTTGTAAAATCAGAACTTGAACACTGAAATCTCTGTCAACAAAAATCTTGGGACAGAAAGGAATAAAACTCCATCGTGTATAATGCTTATATATAAAAAAAAATCCTCTTTGCCATCAAACCATATTTTGTATGTTAGGGAAAGGTATAATGCCCTTATGGCTTAGACAGCAATTAATTAGTACATACATTTGATCTTGCTAAGAAGCTGCATGTGGATTTAGTGCTGCTCCATTACATTGGGTTGTCCTATTTTCCCAGCCATCCCCCATACATTTGTTTTTGCCATCTTTCCGTGTGTGAAGAGTCCCTTAAGCTGATGTGTCAACATCAGGGCAGGGGCCTATATAGTAGGTCATTTGTTTTTCTTCCAAAGAACATCTCAATAGTCCTGGCTATAATCCAGCTCAAGGAAGAGAGTAGAGTTATCAATTAGAATGGGTTGCTCTATTTGTGTAATCTGCAGATATTTACAACAAAGCAGCCCCGAACTATCACCATAGGTATTTTAAAGAGAAAGAGATTATAAATGAGCTGCTGCTTGTGGACAGATGCTCCACACATAGAGGATCTTTAAAAAAAAAGTCAGATACAGACATTCTCTAGCTCTAAGCCATGTTGCTTGCCCAACATATCTGGAAAATGCCAGATTGGAGAAGACTGTTTGTACCACATGAAGATTAAAGAAAGAACAACTTTATGTATTCCAATGCAGAGAGTGAGATAACTTGATCTAAACGGTAGTTCTTTTGTTTGGTCTACATACAATCTTAAACCCTGCGGTGAATCTTGTTTATTGTCCAAAGTTCTAAGATGCTGAGATATAGAAAAATTGACTTAAGTCTGCCTTCTTTATCTTATCTGAATAACCTCAAACAAGAGACAACACCCTGAAGGCAAACTGACAAATAAAGGCAGTTCTAAGAGGTAAGTTGTCTCAAAATCATTTATTCTTTGGAAAAAAATGCTACTTCATAGATTTGCAAGGAACAAATACGATGCTCACCAGGGCTTCTCTGAGTATTGCTGGAGCTTCACAAAGCAGAGGTTCTCTCCAGCTTGCTTCTGCACAAAGACCAACATTCAAGACTGTTCAGCAATAATTTTAATGTTCTAAAACAAGAACTTCTTGGACTGTCTATTACCAAGAACACGTGATGCCTTCATGTAACTCAAAATATAAATCTTTTAACCAGCCAGGTTATACATCTCGACTCATTCAGAATCCATTAGGCATCAATGATCACATCCATCTTCTTACAAACAGGGTTTTTTTCTCCCTCCTCCCCATTCTCTCTCCCAAACTTCTTGGACTGCAGTACAACAATGCTTCCAAGTCTTCCAGCTGTCACTTCTGCACCTTGTAGCTGTTGCAGGAAAAAGTGGTTTCTCAGCTTTGCTGCCAAAAGGAGGCCTTCTCCAAGGTCATTGTTTTATCCCAAGCCTGAAGAACAAAAAGATTCCTCCCATTAACTGTCCTAGAAAAGGCCTCAGTTACTTTAGGTAGATTTGCAAACGTGACGTCTTCTCAGCTGGCTTCAGTTAAGCTGTCAATGTAGTTCTTCAGCAGGCATTCATAGTAGTCTCCAATCTTTCTCAGGTTGGCTCGTAGTGCTGAATGCATCGCTTCTATCATGCAGGGTTCCTTTTCCACCAGCATGATGGCTATTGCTCCAAAGTTGAGAAGGACCTGCAGGTAGGCCTGAAGTGAAGGACCAAGTTCCATCAGACCAATGAACAACCAATGCATTTTTAAGACCACACTACTGATAGTCCACCTATAATTACTGGGCCCATGGCAATGCTCAAAAGATCCAACAAGTACAGCTGAGTGTATGGCAGGAAAAGAAAACCAAGAATATATGGAAGTAAAAATGTATCATTGTTTTTAGAAGGATCAAACTACAGAAAACGCAAAGCATCCATGACTGGAATTTCTGACATCCTTGTTTTTCCCAAAAAGTCCTGGAGTAAACTGGATACAGTGTGCATGTAGGTAGTAGTAAGCGTTATTTCAAATGATCAGAATTCAGATGACTCTCTAGTGGTTAAGGCACCAGGCTAGAAACCAGGAGGCTGTGAGTTCTAGTCCCACATCTTAGGCATGAAAGCCAGCTGGGGGACTTTGGCCCAGTCACTCTCTCTCAGACCAACTCACCTCACAGCATTGTTGTTGTGTGGAAAATAGGAGAGTGTTAGGTATGCTTGCCACCTTGAGTTATTTTTAAAAATAATAAAGGCAGGATAAAAAATCTTTTAAAAAATCAGTGTACAGTGTACAGGTAAAGCTCCCTTCTGTCATAGTCCCACCCACATTTGGGACATTAGAGAGCTCAAGACAAGATTTTTGCCAAGATACTGAAAATCAAAGTCATCCCTTTAAAACAAGGGTGGCAAAGCTGGGCCTTCTGAAAAACCTCTTCCAGCAGCCATAGCTCATGGCCAATTGTGGGAAGTGTTGGTCATTATTCAGCAACTTCTAGAGGATAATAGGCAGATGTAGTGAGTAATAAAGATGACCATGACTGAGATGTGCAGGTGCTGTTGCCTAGGCAATAGTACCTGCATGTTTCCATCAAGGCCATCTTCCTTTCTTATTCACTAGAAGCAAGTCACAAGTTTTCAGAGTCTAGTTTACAAAATAAGATTTAGAGTTCATAACTTATCTGCTTACAAGTTACGCTCCCTGATTTGGTAGTTCACGACTATAGTCTCAGCTACAGATGGCTTGATAGTGAATAAAGGAACACAAAAAAGCCCAATCCTTAAGCATGCAAGTAAAATGCACTTGCTAAACCCTCCTGGCCCAAAAACTAGTTTTCTCTGCCACTTCTTCTGTTATCTTCATCAGTCATGTCTGAGAGCCAGTGGGGAAGCTCACTTTCTCCTTACCTGTTCAATCTCTTCCTTTCTTGCCAGCACAGCTGCATAAAGGTCCTTGGAAGTCCAGGATGGACTACTTCTTCTAGTTTCTTCTTCAGCATTAAGTTGGCAAGGAGCGCTTGCTTTCTCCTTTCTGGTTGCTGACTGGATCAACAGATTTCTCAATGAGATATGAAGTTAACAAGGATAACAGTGGCCTCCCCCAATTTAAAGAAACTCCTGCTGCAAAGGACTGCACAAAACTGGACTAAGTATATAAAATACTTTATCATATAATACATGCACTCACACACACACAGACATTCATACATACATACATACGTACCATATATACTATAATTAGGAAAAAGGAGGGTTGGAATATATTTAATAACTTTGCTACGAAGTAGATCCAACTTTGCAATATTGCAAATGCCAATGAGTATAAATGTGGTGAATAAATGGGACTGGATGGAAGGATAGCCCACATGATATAGTAGTTGCAATGTAAGATTCTAGCTGAGCTAATCAGAGTTCAAAGCCCCACTCAAACATCTAAACTTACAATTCCAATAGAAGACAATATCTGTAGCTCAGGGTTGAACTGTGGAGTCCTTGGTGCTCTCTGAGCTTGGTTGGTTGCTTGCAGACGTTTCATAACCCAACTAGGTAACATCATCAGTGAGCACTGATGATGTTACCTAGTCAGGTAATGAAACGTCACAAGCAAAAAACCAAGTTCAGAGAGCACCAAGGACTAAACTTACAATTAAACAATCACTCCAAACATATCTCACAGAGTTGCTCCAAACATAAAATGGGAGAAATGATATTCTTATCAGCCACCTTGTTCTCATTAAACAAAGATGTGAAATGCCAAATTGCCCTGGAATGCCAATTTACTTTTTATTCTATAGACCAAAAAGCCCACAGCAAATCCCAAGGAAGTAACCATATTCCCAGGAAAGCATGTTCATCCAATATTTGAATGTCATGACCAGTTTCTGAACTGCAGTGCTAAAACTCTGGGTGGGAACTGGGTCAGGGTGGGAGTGAAAGAGAGGATAACTTGGCGCCTTTAAGTAGCACTGATTGTGTGCGCATCAATTAAAGTTGCTTTTAGATGCAATCATTTCTACACTATGGGCAATCCTAAAATAACCTATATAAGGAAAAAAAGGAAAGTCTACTAGGCAGCTGTCCCTTCACTTTTAGAATCTCAAGCAAAAACGAAGCAGATACCAGCCAACTTTTCCTCATTATCATGAGTAAACAATAATAAACAATAAGTAAATAGACAAAACTGTTTAGCCAATTACATTATTGTGAGAAACTAGATGTAAACTAAACAACTCTTCTTTTGGATATTAACTCTCACTGAACCATTGTGCAAATGATATAATTTGTGTCAGTTGCATGATGACAATGATGTACAATACTTAATTCACATCATTTCTGTGATGACATTATGACATGTCATTCTCCTTTGCCCCCCACAGATGCCTATGCGTACATATGCACACTCACACAATGAAAACATGTTTATAATTAAGACATGGCTTATTTCACATAGCCCCTGGAAATCCATACGTATTATAAATTACCTTCAAAGCCTTTCTTCCATTCCCTGATGTTGCTCTTTTTTTCTTTTCAATTATCTTAGGCTCCACCAATTGTCTGTTTTCTGTTATTTTCTTTTCATTCTACAGGCCCGGAAGAGGGAAAAAAGATCATGTTGAATCCCAAAAGGAAGTACTGAAATAATACCAGAAAACCACCTGTCTTTTTTTAAAAAATGGAGCAGCATATTTGCCAGCAACATTCACTGCCCAATGAAGATAAATAAATAAAATTTAAAAGGTATTTATAGCTATATGCAAAAAACCAGGCATCCCTGGTTAAACTGAATGTTTCAGATGAAGGTTATGGAATGGACTTCGCAGTCCCCAGATTTGAATATTACTGCAACTTGTGGGGGGATCTCAAACATGCAGCACACGCAAGGAGTCCTAAGAACATTTCTGAGCTAGAAGAGTTCTGCAGGGATGAATGGCAAAAAACAAAACCACAAAACAAAATGAACATAAACATAAAAAGTTTGAAAGGAAGAATGGAAAGATTCTTAGCTGGCTACAGGAAATGTTTAGAAGCTGCTACTTCTGCCAAAGGAAATGTTATAAAGAGTGTCTGAGCTTTTGCACCTACCACATCCACTCTTTTCTAAACAGCTGCACATGAATAGCAAACTTGCATGTAGATTAGCAGAAAGATATCATGTTTAACTTTGTACCATATGGAAATTTTGTCAGCATTTATTCACCTACAGATTTACTAAAATATTCAATTTAACCTAATCATTTGCATACAAGTGTAAGAAGCAAGTGAAGAAAGGCCACTAGGCTCCTGTTGGCTGGCAATTCTAGGAATTGCAACACCAATAAAATATTCATTATTCATCCTATGATAACTTACGTGGCCATTTGTATGGATGTGTGTGTGGAATGTAACAGGTTATACAACAAAACAAGTTATAAACACTTTGGGGCCATGTAATTGTCTTAATGTGTGAATGAAGAATGAATAGACATTTACAGCAAGAGGCTGTAAGTAACCAATTGTCATGGGCAAACTACACTGCAGATATAAATCCCATAGCAGAAAACTAATCACTCTGCCCTGTTTGTTAATCAAACAAACTATAATTGTGCTGATGCAGTCCGAAGACATCTGGATAGCATTAGGATGAGGGAGATTCCCCTAGGAGATAGGTTTAGTTAATAGTAGCAAACTAAAATAGTATTAAGCCTAGTGTTTATCTATACTAATTATCCAATGTGTAACGGATAATTAAGTACTCAGTTTCCCAAAATGTTATTTGTGGAGAGAGAGTTTTCCAGAAGGGTAAATGAACATAACAATACAAGAATATAGGAACAAATGTAGGAAAAAGACAGCAATACATGTACTTATCGTTAAATGCAGTAGCAATCATATAATAGATACATGAAAAGTTGTCATAAGACTCAAATGCCACAAGGCCAATTAGAATATAAATACGGTATGTGATTGCTATCAAATAAGTTTCCAGCAGATTCTTGAATGTGGGCTCTTAAACCGATTGTCGAATACTAATCACAGCCTGAGTTTTCTTCTACACCAGGGTCTCCTACCAACTTTGCCCATCCTGGGGGCAAAGCACAAGAAAATGAGAACATTTGGGCTGCCCTTCTCAGGAACCCCTATGTTAACTCCTAAACCAGACATCCTGAATTTTCTTTCCTCATAAGGGAAGAAGTGGGAATTCATTTTATATGTCCTAGGCAGATACAGTTTCTGTTCATGCTCATCTAGCATGGCCAGTAGTAAAATAAAACCATCTTCCCTTACCACAATAGACCTCTCTGGAGAATGGTGGTGTGGTATTCTATAGACTTTACTTATTTCTGTGAAATAAGAACAAAAATAAGAGACAGATTATTTTCTGCACAAAAATGCTTAGTTTCCTATTCCAAGGCCAAAGGAATACAAATGTGAATACTGAAGTAGGAAACAATATAGACAGGTATAAAATGGTAGGCAACGTATCCTTCCATGTAACTTTTTAGCCATTTCAGAACTTAAGAACCCTCTATCAAAAGGGTATTAAACAGGGCTCAGTTGTCAGCTTTGTTCTTAATTTGCAAAATTCTTTTCAGTAAACACAAGTCTCATGGAAGGAAGCATTTCTTCATAGAAAGCTCAGTCAATCTACTGAATTCATTACAAGATATAGTTATTCCTGCCAACATTGAGAGGGGATTAGATAAACTCATAGCAAATGCCTTTCAATTTAATTGATTGATAATTTTTGGGCTTCCCATAGGCATCTCATTGACCACTTCTGTTAACAGAATACTAGGCTTTGGTCTGATCCACCATGGTTCTCCTTTTGGAGATGACGTTATCAAGAAAAAAGCCTTTAATTATAACCTCTGGTTGGAAGCTTGGAGAAAAAAACCTAACTGGCAATAATTTGTTGAGAAACAATTCTATAGTTATTAAAACCCAGTCCCTTCAGTGACAACAAAACAAGTCACATTCTGAACAATTTTTGACACAAAACGTGAATCCTAAGGAAAAGCAAACCTTTGGAAACATGGAGGCATTTTATTTTACAGGTTAAGTAAGGAGGAGGGGAACATCTCTGCCAGGGACTCTCTCGAGACGGACTGCAACTCTGTTGACAATAGCAACGGCAATGGCAGCAACAACCTCTTGTCAATTTGTTCTCTTTCCACCTGAGCGGGAAAAAAGGACTCAGCTGAGAGGCAGCAACCTTCTCCATCAGTTCAACCTCAAGAATTTGACTCAACTAATATGTCACATCTAAAATTCAAAGAACTTTTAAGTTGGTTAAGAATCCAAGGTTGTCTGTCTATTGAAAATGTAATCCTCTCACAAAACTAAAAGCAAACAAACAAATGAGTTCACTGGTTAAAGACATGCCACCTGAATGAAGTACTAATTGACTCAGTGGGAGGGCAGAACCCAATGAGGATGGCAGCAATGAAGAATAAAAAATTTACAGGAAGTCTAAGGATAAAGCTGGTGCTTATGTGGAAGTATCTATATCTCAGTTTGAAGCCTGCTAAAACATTCCCAAGAGCTCTTACATTTGAATACATCCACCTAAAATTTCCTTTTTGTCATGAGAATTCATGATTCTTCATGGTTCTTTTCTTAATTTTTCCTATCCACATGGCCCCACTTTTTCTTAGTTGCCTCATTTGTTAAAAAACACATTAGCTACCCAAAGTACCTATCCAACTTCCGAGATCTTGCGTTTTGCTTCTTTTTCGGGGGGGATCTTGAACTGTGCTTTTGCTTGTGGATGGACCTCACACTATGTTCTTGCATGGGAGAGGTTCTTGAACTGCATTCCTGTTTCTGAGAAGATTGTTCTTGCCTGCAAGGAGATTTTGATGTATGCTTTTCTCTCTTAGGGGAGTTCTCTTGTCTGTGGGAAGATCTTGAACTATGTTCTCGCCTACAGGACAATTTTGAACTTCTTTCCTGTCTTTCAGTGGATCGCTCTCGCTTGTGAGAGGATCTTGAGCTATACTCTTGCCTGCCATGGGATCTTGGACTCTGAGAACGTAAGTCACTTGAGGTCTGTTTTGTGCCACAATGCTTGGAACTGCTGCTGTGATGACTCTTTGGAGAACTAGACTTGTATTCTATCAGTCTTCCATCATTATGTTTTTCATTAGAAGAAACAGAAGAGGACATCTGAAAAGAGAATTAAACCCTTCAATAAAAAAGCAAGAGAAACTATCTTTTTCTTAATTTCAATCTCAGAAGCACTCATGAAAATTCAAAGCATAATTAATACTAATGGGTCAGACTTAAACTTATCTTGATCTAGGCTAAAATTTTAATCTCATAGCTTTCTGGCCTGTGAATGCTATCTGGTTTCACTATGTAATTATGACATACATTATATTTTTTCCCTGTATCTCAAGTTTAACTTTATCCACAGAGCACAACAATTCTCTCTTTTTCTATTCTGAAACATACTGAAATCACCCCTTAATTTTTCCAAACAACAGTACTATGTGAACTATAGGACTTGTATACATCTAGAGGGCATCAGGTTGAAGATGCTTTAAACTTCCTATGTAGGCCTTTGCTTCTTTCTTGGGAGCTACTTTTCTCCTCCTTTCTGCATCCCTCATTCAACCCTCAGCCATATCTTACACCTTGGTTTCTTACCCTACTAATAATTATTTTCCTAATGACCAGAATCAATTTACTGAACTTACTAAACCTCTGTAACATTCAGAGACTTTGTGACACTGGTCAGCTTGGTTCACATTCCAGGGTGGCTCCTGATAATCTTCAGGTGCCCATCCTCTCTGGTTTTCAGCATGAAAAGGAGTAGCTTTCCAAGAGTACGGCTAGAGATAGATGAAAGCAAAGAAATGGATTAGGACAGTACGGGCTGGGGGAGGGACACACAGAATAGCCTTTTATAGCTTGCTGCCTTCTATATGTGTTATGACTCCAACTCAGATAATTCCCAGGGAATAGCTTTCTTCAGGATTTTCTGATGTAACATGAATTGAATAACCAAAATTCCTGTAGTCACAAACAAACTCCAGATTCAAAATTGGACTTACCTATATTTCCAAGGAAAATATATACAAAAGCTTTTCCCGTTCTTACCAACTCATTATCTTTTTCTCTCACTAGCACAGGCACACAGCGAATATCATTGAGGGTACTTGGAAGGCTGGAAGAATCAAGAGCTGGAGCAACACAAGCTTGACAATGGTCTGTATCATTCTGCTTGGCTGTAGTTTCAGTCTACATTGATTTAAAACAAAATCAGGATTTATTTATTTTTATTTACCAGCCAGGCGAGGCACAGATCTAAAACACAGGTGGCCAAACTCACTTTCCCTAGGATCCTGTCCACTTCCTCAGGAGTAACAGGGTCAAACCGTTGCCAGATAACTGGGCAAGAACCTACCCCAGGCATCTCCACTGGGCCTGTGTCCACACCGACATACAACTGGGAGTGAATCTGAATCACTTTATCTGCCAGAAAATCAGCAAATTCCGCAGTGCGCCCCTGCAAGTTAACCTCTGAGTCCTCCTTGCCCAGAAGGAATCAGGTCACCTTAAAGAGGGGCCACTGGGTGATTTTCTGCAGATGCGTTTAGCACAGAGAAGTATTTCCACATCACTGCCTGAATCACCACGAGGTAGGCTTTAATAGCAGCTCTTACCCTTGTTTGGTCAAGTTCGTTCTTTGTCTTCCCCCAGCAACGCTCTAGACGTCTCTTGATCCGTTTCACCCCCCTCAGTTCCTCCACATACAATGGGGTGCAGTGAGGTCCACGGGTTGGAAGAGGTCGCTTGGGTGCAATCCTGTCTAGAGCCTCAGTCACTCCCAGTTAGAGGCAACAACTAGGGTCTCAGCAGGATTATGCAGATCCTCAGTTATAACCTCCAGCTCCCTTTGAAACCCACCAGGGTCCATCAGTCGCTGGGTCCCACCAGGTCCTGCTTCCTTGCAGAGGGGAGCGGCTCTAGAAAAGCCCATAGCCACCAGATTGTGATCTGACCATGACAAGGGGACCAAAGATAGGTCCACCAATTCCAGATCACAAAGGCACCGCTCCAAAAAGAACACCAAATCAGGTGTGTGACCACTATTTCTAGTTGGGCCCTAGTTGGACTTGGGAGAACCCCATGGAAGTCATGGTTTCCATGAACTCCTGAGCTAACTCTGATCCCGCTCCCAGGGAAGGCAGTTTGAAGTCCCCCAGAACCATAAGCCTGGGAAACTCCACTACCAGCTCCACAGTAAGGTTTAGAAGCACGGGCAGGGAGGCTGTTACACAGCAGGGAGACTGTTACAGTAGCAGCAATCCCAGTTGATCCCTAGAGCCCAACCTCAGAAAAAAGATCTCACAACTGGGCACTTGCAGAGCCACGCCCTCGCAGCCACCAGAGATTCTCTGATAACAAGTCACTCCACCTCCCCTGCCCTGCAGTCTTACCTATATATCCAAGGAAAATATATACAAAAGCTTTTCCCAATCTTACCAACTCATTATCTTTTTCTCTCACTAGCACAGGCACACAGCGAATATCATCGAGGGTACTTGGAAGGCTAGAAGAATCAAGAGCTGGAGCAACACAAGTTTGACAATGGTCTGTATCATCCTGCTCGGCTGAAGTTTCAGTCTACATTGATTTAAAACAAAATCAGGATTACTGTAGAATATTTTGGGAAGCAGAATGAATGAATTTGTCACTAGAGAGACCAGTTTGCTCATTTCAAGGATCATTGTTCATCTCTTTTACCAATTTACTTCCTCTTATTCCCTTTCAACTACTGAATGCTTTCAACCTCAACTACACAATTTTCTTGTCTAGAATGAAGCATTTGGTTGGCATGCATTCTGCAGAGGCCCATGAAATGTAAAGCTATGTTTACAGGCATGACTTCCACAATAAAATAATGGGCTCATCCAGAAACTAATTGTTCAAGTCTTTTCCTGGTCAAATAACCTCTATATATGCCTTACAGTATTTGTCAAAACAGTATTGCGTCTTCATGATGAAAAATATGGATTAGACAGGAATGGACAATGGGCTCTAATAGTGGAAACACCATTTAATTTGTGCAGGAATATTAATAAATCACTGATACACAACATCCAATAAATCATTTTTCTATATTAGTTTTGCAAAATAAATCATAAGGCTCTTGTCTAGAGGAGGTGTGGGTGACTTATTCTAACCAGGGAACATACTTTTTATTAAAATCAGCCTCCAGGATGGCACTTCCAACAATCTTTTGAGAGAGGGTGAGGGAATATTTTAAAATATGAAATATGGTAAATATGACTGGGCTGCTAAAAACAGCTGAAGAGGGGTGGGGCACATGCAACCCACAGGCTGCCTGCTCTATCTACAGAAAGCAAGCTATTTCAGCTTTCTCATATTAGAGGATCTCACATTATTCTCTAGTATCTAATAGCATTTTGTCAATTAAGTAAAAAATACCACAAAATAGGATTTAGTAAAACAAATACATTTCTTAGAGAGCAGAATTCTGGAAGTAACAGAGTTGTAAAAAAAAAAAATCTCGATGAAAGGATAATAAAAGGCAGAGCATTAGTATGCTTTTACGAAAGTATATCTAGGATTTACTTAAATAACCTACCAAAAGCAGATAAATTGAATGGAACAAAGGGAGAAAAATTAATAGTCTAAGATTTGTGAATATTTGTGCAGTAACAAACATTCCAGAAGGAAAACTAGTATCTTTTTTCTTGTTTTAGATAGATCTGGTATCTTTTTCTTACAGACCCTGATGTAGTTAAAATATAGTAATAATCTGATTAAAAGGATATTTTGTATTATTTATTCTATCTTGTCATCCTTTGATGTAATCCTTTAAGATAACATAACAACATGATCTTAGTAAAGAAAACGAAAGGCATTTTTTGTTTCATCAAATATTTTAAGGATAAATACTGTAGGTCAAAACCCCAGAAGATACATATGCCAAAGAAGTCTGATGATGTATTTCATAAATTAAAATATATTTTATAATTGGTAAGATAATAACTTAGCAATAAGCCAAAGGTGGTCTTCTGGATATTGTCTAACCCACATGTGGCCAATGATGAGGGAATATCTGCAACTAAAGTTTACAAGTACAGCTGAGATAAGAATGGTGGCAAGAGCTTTAATATTTTTTAACTGAATCTTATTATATCTTATAATTGAAGAAAACTTTCCATCTCCAAATTAGAAGCCCTGAAGATAAAATTTCAACAAGTACAACTTGAGTGAAGGATGAGTGCTGTTCTTGCTAGATTGTCTTCATCAGTCTGATGGCTTCCAGTTATGTTGCATTTCACCTGCCATAATTCATAGCCAGCAATCCAAAACTGTCTAAATCGAACACAGCATTGGATTGTGGAAGAGGCAGTCTCAGAACCTAAAGGTATCGGACATGTTTAATTTGCCAACTACATAGATATTGAAAGATGAATAAGCCAAGCATATTTTATATCAATTCTTGTCCAAATCTGTGCAAAGGATTCTTCTGTGAGTTTGGGAACATAAATACAATATTTACTGGTATAGTTCAAGGGAGATCTCTCAATCTGAAATCTCTGTATAAGTGATGCAGAAGCACTACAGCAGCAGCATATCTTTTTTATTCATTTTAAAAATTAAAATAATATTTCCTCAGCAAAAAGAAGACAATCATTTAATACCAGCTCAATTTCTCCTTTTCTCTCAGACTGGTCATCACTGGCATTCTCCAAGAGGAATGGTATTTCTACAGTCGAGAGAAATGGTATTTCTACAGTCGTGGGTGAACAAACGTGGTTGGAATGTTGTGCAGACTGGCTGGTTTGCAGCTGCAGGAAAAAGAAAGATTGGAGTTTGAGAATTGGGAAGAATCAGGTATTGACCAAAAATAAAACAAAGGACAATCCCTTAATGACTAATGCAACAAAAAACAGATTTTTGTAAATAATGCATTTTCCTACTATTCCTCAATAGCATTAATGAAAAACTATAGAAAAGTCATTAAAATAACTGATTTGTACATAAATGCAAACGATACATATTTACTAGCCCATACAAAAATTTAGTTCAAATATCCATAGAAAACTTCACAAAGATTCAACCACTTTTGCTTTAAAACTGGACTTGGCAAATCTGTTTTTCAACATGATTAGAGCAGTTTGTTGTTTAAACTTCTCCAATAAAGTTAGCTCTTCATTAGAAATCTATATTAAGACTACGTACCTCATCTTATGGCTCTAACTAGTTTGTTAATGGTCAATGAATTCAAGTGTAATAAATAAAAAATGTTATTTGCTGTCCAGCTTCAAACTGTGATTGTAACTCCTGTTTAGTCCAGATGAAATTAAACATAATTTGTATGCAGGATCTTCTTTTAGAGAAGAAAACCATGGTTTTCATACTCTGTTTGAATGTAACCAAATTTTCCAAACTGGTGACAGATGTTGCATGTAACTTCCCAACAACTGCTAGTGTGGTGCCCACTCTGGGCTAAGGTGAATTTGCACATTTTTGTTTTTCTTAGCACACACAACTCATTGTGGTCCCATACTGAGGTCTGTAAATTAACCTAGTACCCAGGAACATTTTTCAGGTTCAGCAGCCTGAACCTGTCAGCTACCTCCAACCTCCAGAGTTCTCTCTATCAGAATTGACTTGAGGTATCCTAGGAAAGTCTCTACTACTATGGGCCCTAAGACATCCCAAGAACTCCTCTAGTATTTCTCTTTCACTAAAAATCTCTCTACCAAACCTGGCCTCAAGGTTTCATAGGAATACCTCTACCAAGATTTGGCCCTAAGGTATCTTAAAATCCTATTTCGCTAAATCACACTCTTTTTTCCATCAGGCATGGCCGTGCCACATACACATTGACATTACACCCCTTCATGTTCTTTCAGTAAATTATAAGCATAAGAGCTAAGAATCAGACCAAGTTTGTTGTTTAATATTTCTTTACTAAATTCAGTTATTGTTTCTTCTATTTGAAGCTTAGGAAATGGGTACAAAATAGAACATCTAATGTTTAATAAGTTATTACATTCAGCATCCTAATCTAAGAGAAGGGAAAGAAAAAGACAGAAAGGAGAGAGGAGAGTAGGGCATGGGAGGATGTCTCTAAAAAATTTTGAAGGCTTCCTTTCTGCATTCTGATGTTAAATTCTCAATATCCATGGCAAAATCCCTTGTACGTTGTTGCTCTCAGAGGCAGGCTCAGATAGACAACGAGTAGCTGGGAAAAGCAGGAACCAATATGCCAGTCCATTCCAAGAGGTAAAGTTCAGAATCTTTTTCCTTCCCATTTCATTGGTGTCTCTGCTTTTTAAAACTTAAGGTACAACACTACATCTCCTCATCATCCCTTTCATTGGTTCTTTGTGCCACTTTTCCATATATGAAATGACCTTTCCTTTTTCTTCCAGGTTCTGTGCCTGTGTAAGCTGGTTATTTGAGGTTAGCTTGTATCAACTTCTTGTTTGTGATTAGCTACTGGTGGCCTACTTCAATGTCTTGAACCAACTTAGCTGCAATCTAAAAGGGTATGAAGGGGTGAAGGAAAGAAAGTAGGCCAAAGAGAAGGGGTCCTTTAGGCTCTTTATACTGAGGCAAAACAAGGACTTATGCTTAATATAGCTTCTCTGGCAAAACAAAGCTTCTTGGCATATCATCCTCTTTTTCTCAACTTGATGTCACAACTTGGAGCGCCTGAACAGCTACAAACACTAAAGCAACATTCTCACAATTCAAACGGGAATCGGTGGACCATACAGGCCACACAAACAAACAAACATGCGTGCGCACACATGCACACACACAAACAGCTCATTTCGTTTGAAACTATTTCAAATCATGGCAACCTGTACCCTTACAAGTGCACAAATAAAATACCCAGCATCACAAACACAGAACAATGAAAGACAAAAAGTGCAAACTGCATGCAAGTACTTCCAGACTTTTTAGTAAATAAGTGACTGAATTTAAAGGTCTCTTACAACAAAGAAAAGTTATAATACCTATTTAGACTAACTTATGTCATGAAAAACAGTTCCTCAGCAAAATAAGGTAAGCATTCATACCAATACAGAATTTTCCTTTTCAGTGTTGTGAAGGACTTCTACACTACAAGAAGATGTTTTATGTTCTGTAGATACTCCAGGAGACAAAACAGGGTCAGCTTGACTAAGAAGATCTTCAGTGGCCTCACAATCTTTCAGCTTATCCTGCAGAGATTTTTTTTAAAAAGGAAAAAGATGAGAACTAGTTTAATGCTAACCAAGCTTAACATAGAAGACCTGAAGAAAAGTATTTCTATACCCCAGGGTACATTACTATCTGGATTTTTTTTCTTTTCTTTTTTACCTTTTAATACAGAATGAGATACATACAAAACTGACATCCTGAAGCCATCAGAACTGTAGATGTCATTTACACTAGAGTTTCTTATACAACCATTAGGGTTTTCTTTAGCTCCCTTCCTACAACATCCAGGACATTTTCTTGGAAACAACAGACAAGGGCTTTGCCATTGCCTTCTTCTAGTTGTGTTGATTGCTTCTGCTACATTACTGCACCAAGAAAATGTGAGAGAAGGGAATGCAGAAACTTCCTCTCCACACTCACTCTTAGGGCTGAACTCCCTTATAGCTTTCTTTCTGAGCCGTTTTCCCCTAGCTGAGGTTACAAAGATGATCCTAGAACAAAGGTTCTAAGGTCCCCTAGTTGAGGTAAGAAAGGTGATCCTAGAAAGAGAAAGGCATGAAACAATTACATCAACCTTGAAACTCTCACAAGATTAGTAACCTATCTCCATATATTAAATCCTACCTAAGACAGATTTGCTAATACTAATAGTGGACACTCTGATAACTGAAGGAGTAAAACAAATACCTGAACCAAAATCTTCAAAATAACAAGGCCCCTGAACTCAAGTAGCCCTCCTTAATTGTTTGTTTAGGTGTTTGCAGATGCTGGCTCACAAGTTATCTTAATCAGCACTTGTATTTTTAAATGGGAACTAGGAAGTAACTAATTACAAAAGCTGACTTGTGCCCACCTCCACTTTATTAACTGTATATTCTCACTAGAAACAGAAAACCTAACCCATGTTATCAAAAATAAAATGATTGGCATATGACATCATTACTGGTCAGGACTTATTATATGACTATATGAAGGTTGTTTGTACCTTCCTTCAGTTGGGCAAACCTTGTATTCTGTCCCTAGTGCTGTTCAAATAAACTTGGTTCAAGCAGATTGTGTGGTCTCCACTCGTAAATTGGGTGATGGGGACTTTTCCCCTTCATAATAATAGGCCCCAGAAGTTACTTTGGATGCAGTTGTGCTCCCCACCCCCAACAAGGAGGTAGTCTGTGACTTGGAGGTCTTCCTGGACTTGCAACTCTTGCTTCAACAGTAGCTGGAAATTGTGGCCAAGGAAGACCTTTGCCCAGCTTTAACTGGTACTCTAGTTATGACCCTACTTGGACCAGAATGCCCTGCTCTATGTGGAGCTACCTTTGGAGGCAAACTGGAAGTTGCAGTAGGTACAAAATGCAGTGACAAGTTATTGACAGGACAGTCTTGCCAATATAGCATTCCACTTATATTAAAATTGTTGAATTGGCTGCAGTAGGCTTCAGGGGCCAAATTAAACTGTCGGTTGTTACCAAATGTTACCTAAACATTACAGCACCAGGATACAACAGGAAATGCCTTGCCAGAATAGAAGCTGCCTGTCTAATCCATCATCAAAAGCAGGTCTGCTGAAAGATTTCTCCCTTAATGTGGTTTACAGGGTTTGGGTGAGACAGCAGGTCTTCTTTGTGGTAGCCCCCACCTTACGGAATACACTCCTCTCCAGAAATGTGTGCAGCTCTCACCTTGCTGCAATTCTGTAAGTAAGTGGATCACCATCTTGGATTTTTTCTTGGCATATCTTTTGTGGTTAGTTTTTGTTTTTAATACTGATTTGTATTATTTCTTTATTATTCAGATTCATATATACACTTATGTTTAGTTATTAGGATATAGGTAGATGTCTTATCATTAAAAGTTTCCTTGGAAATTTTGCCTTTCAGATAGGCTTATTTCTACAGTAACAGCCGCAGGGTGGTGGGGGCAGAGCATTTGTAAGATAGAAGTTGGCAGGCAAGAAGACTTGGCAAACCGCCTCCCTCCTTCCTACTGTTACTATTAGCATTAGAGTAAACACAAATTAGAGGAGCTGGTGGAATTCCCATCTGTAAGCATGCTCATACCTCATGATCACTATGTTTGCTTTCTTCCCAAAGGATTAATGAGACAGAAGTGAGAAATAAGATATCATCATTACATATCCTCATTAATTAAAATCATAACTTAATAAAGAATATTTTACTGAATTAGATGTTCAGAATCTAGAGAATCGTATAACATCTCTATAGTAAAAGAAATATACAAGTCAGTTTGATACATTATGCTTTCTTAATAATTAAAAAATAGAGAGAGGAGCTAATTTAACTTTTACTAGGGTCTCCTGATGTTGTAACTCCATCACTAGCCATACTGCAGTTTTCCTAACTCTTTAAAACAAATACCTAAATCTCCCAAATGAAGGTTCCAAACAAGTTTTGAATGGAATAAATTTGTAAGTATTGCTTCAAGAAATGTTATTGAACAAATAAGATTCAAGCCAGCTAAAGCAAAGAGGAGGATATATCACACCTTACCCAATCAGCATTTAATTTGCTGGTAAGTAGAGCTGCTGTCTTTACTTGCCAGAATAGGATTGCAAATCTCTTTTTCAGAGAGCTAAGTCTATATGTGCTCAGAGGTTTCTAAACAGCAAGCATCTGCTAATGTTGAAAGATTTCAATTCTTCATACACACACCCAATCTCCATGGCTTTAAATGGGCATGCCCTATAGGTTAAACTTGTAGAATTTTCTATTACAAACACATACTACAGAGTGGAAAAGCAAAACACTTGTCTCACCATTCTCACCTTTACTTGCTCACTTCCTTAGTAAACCAACTTTGCTTTCAACTTAAAACAAATCTGAGCTGAATATTCATTCTTAAGAAGTATCGATTTGAAGTGAAGAGAAGATAGAGCAGGCAGCAAAAGCTGTGAGGAGAAGAGAGAAATTCTACAGAGATTTAAGAAGAGATGTCAAAACAAAAACAGGAGAAATAAACTCCAGTGTATTGCTTCAGCTTATTTCTTAAGAGGAAGCTGAAGAAACTGTTTAATTGGGATGCTATGGGCTTTAGAAACAATGTAAAAGCATCTGGTGATGGAGAATGTGTGGCAGTGTCTCAATTTTCAACAGGACTTGCATAACAGCAGCAGCCTTGGGGAAAAAAGGCATTGCTCGGAGGGCACAGAATAGGCAGCAGTGAATTACAGAGGCAAGCTTTGTTTGAGATTTCTGCAAGAAGTAATGGCTTATTTTGCTTCAATCCAAAATATATTGTCTCCAAATTAAATTAATTATTTTAACAGGGTTAATGCCAACTAGGCATGTTTGGAGTTTGAGACTAATTTTACTTTCAATGTATTATGCATTTTATAAATTATATAGGAAAATACCTTTCCTCCAAGAAACTAAGACTGTTGAATGCAGGAGGAGAGGAACATTACTTCTCTATAGGGAAGCACCTCATTCCCATGGCACGTTCCAAATTACTTCAATTAGCAACTCTATTTGTACAGAGCTCTTACTCTCAATGCCTGAAGAATCCAGAATAGTCTATCTAGAAGACATACAGCATTGTCTAAACAGAATTTTTAAATGGCAATGAAAACCAAAGATCTGTGATGGAGTAAGACTATCATGACAGCAGAAGTTGCCAAGTCTAGAAGTTGGAGATTTTAGAAGTTCAGCTGAGAAGGATGTGGTTTAGCCTCAGTTCATATAGGCCTATCTCATTATTAAACACAAATTATATAAACTATACTCAAAATTATTAGCCAAATATCTATGATTAATTACAAACAGAATTATACACCCAGATCAATCTGCATTTATTCCTAAATGGAATATATCTAGTCCCATCAGAAAGTTATTAAATATAATTCATTCCATTTCAATAAAAGAAATTGAACTGCTAACACATGCAACACCCTAACTACATACAAAGGATGACAAAGAAGCTACCTAATTTGTACCAGATCATTTTCCACATTTCTGAAAAACAAACAAAAAAGTGGTTAAATTACAAATAAAAAAAATCAGGCCGTTGCTGTTTCACTTGCTGTTAGGCTATTTCAATCTTCAGAAAGTTCACAGTGGACAGAGGAAAGAAGAGGCTACTCTGTGCTAGAGTAACAGATGCTGACTGGGAAATACTAAAGCTGTACATGCACACTTATGAATACTGAATGTATACATTGAAATGGCTAAAATATTTAAGCAGTAGGCACCCTAAAATTCTCTTACAGTTTATTATTTTCAATATGTTACCCCTGTCAGGGGAAAAACCACGTTAAACACGGGAGACAGACACACCAGAACATAAGTCACTTCAAAGTTCTAAAAACTTTATTAAATGTTAGTTCAATAAGTAAGTAAAATTCAATCAGTAGCATACAAGGTACTTACTTAGATTCACATTGCAATGCGGACCAACAAGAACAAGCTGTCAGGCAGACAGCTTGACCAAGTGGTCCCGTCTCCTTAGTTGCAATCCCTTTTATCCTCAAAAACCGCAACAACCACAATCATGACTCTCAGGATTTGCAACTGAATCGTAACATTCCCAGTGCTAATATTACCACACTTCCCTGTTCCA